GGTAGCTTTTAATGTGTTCTCAAGTTTCTGTTGTATTCTTTTCTATTTAACTTAGTCCAAGGAATGTTTTTTCTTGATTTCTTCTTTCATCTATCCATCATTTATTAGTGATCTGTTTAATAGCCATGAGTCCATCTGAGTTTACATAATTATGAGGGATTTGTTGTCTGTTTAAATTTAATTGCAATATGGCTAGATAGGATACCAGAATTATTTAAAATTTTCTCCATTTGTTAAAGATTTTGGTTCTTTTGTTTAAGTATGTTAGAGATTCTTCTGTAGGCTGCTGAATAGGCTGCATTTTCCTTGGTGTTTTAGTGGAATATTCTGTAACTATCTGTTAAGTTCATTTGGTGTATGATATTATTTAATCCTAATGATTTTCTGTTCTGTTTATCTTTTGCTCAAATGACCTGTATATTGGTAAATGTGTAGTACTGAAATACCCTACCATTAATGAATTGATTTTTATCTCTGTCTTTATTTTCAGTAGTACATTTTTTCTAAATTTAAGCACAACAGAGTTTGGCACTTATCTGTTTAAGATTGCAATGTCTTGGATCTATTTGCATTCTTCTACATGTTGACATTCACTTATACCAGCAACATTTGTTGAAGATACTTTTTTCCATTGTACAATTCTGGCTTGTCAAAAATTAGGTATTCATAGCTCTGTGGATTAATGTCAGGGTCTTCAACTCAATTCCATTCATCCATGTGTCTGTTTGTATACCAGTATCAAGCTGTTCTTCTTACGACAGCTCTATAGTAGAGCTTGAAGTCAGGGATGGTGATGCTTCTGGAAATTCCTTTATTGTACAGGATTGTTTTGGCTATCCTGGGGTTTTTGTTTTTCCATATGAAATTGGTATTGTTCTTTCAAGATTTGTGAAGTGCTGTGTTGAGATCTTGATGGGCATTGCGTTGTAGCTGTAGAATGCTTTTGGTAAGACTGCCATTTTACTATGTTGATCCTACCTATGCAAGAGCATGGGAGAGCTTTCCATTTTCTGATACCTTCTTCAGTTTCTTTCTTCAACGGCTTAAACTTCTTGTTATACAAGTCTTTCATTTGTTTGGTTAGAGTTACCCCAAGATATTTTATGTTACTTGTGGCTATTTGTAAAGGATGAAGTTTCTCTGATTTCTTTATCAGCCCTTTATTTATTTATTTATTTATTTATTAATAGGAGGGTTACTGAATTTTTTTACTTGAGCTTGTATCCTGCCACATTACTAAAGGTGTTTATCAGTTATAGGAGTTCCCTGATAGAATTTTTGGGGTCACTTATGTACAGTATTATATCATCTTCAAATAGTGAGAGTTTGACTTCTTCCTTTCCCAATTTATACCCCCTTGATCTCCTTTTGTTGTCTTATAGCTCTAGTTAGAACTTTGAGTACTATATTGAACAGATATGGAGAGAGTGGACAACCTTGTCCTGTTTCTGATTTTAGTGGAATAGCTTTAAATTTCTTTCCATTTAATTTGATGTGGGATGTTGGTTGGCTGTGTATTGTTTTATTATGTTTAGATATGTTCTTTGTATGATAGGGGAGTTTAGCCAATCATATTTTGTTTGTGGGGCATGTTGTCCTAAGGCAAAAATTTACCTATAATCCTGGTGGGTGTGGTTTTTTTAGCTTTTTCTCGCCTGGCTCCTGGGTCTGGATGGATTGTTGGGATTTTGGTGTAAGCCTTTTTTTGTTTATTAAAGCTGTATAATTTGTATTAAGCTAGTCTGGTGGATCATTAATTACCAATCACACCGTGCCCCCTTCAATAGGCAATTCTCTTAGTCTTCAAGTTAGATAGATATAAATCCATAGTCATATATGTTTGTTATACTTATATTTAGGCTAATCAAGTTATTTAGGTGCATACAGATCATATTTAGTATAGATAGTATAATCTCCAACCTCTTCGAAGAGCTGTAGATAATGGCCTTTAATCTAATTCAGAATTCTGTAGTAGTGAGACACAATCGCTCCTGGCATCACTGCTCTACTCCCAAGAGAACGTTGAGCACCAAAGGCACTCCACTTGGAGCGTGTCTTCTTCCTGGCAGAACTGGCCTTTGGGCAAAGAAAAAGCCCATACCTCAAAAACTGACAGAATTACAAAATATCCATAAATGGATAAAAACAGGATTGTCTTATCTTGCCAAGACAGGGTGAGAGAGTCCTAAAAGGTTTCTTGCCTTTGAAAAATGACATGTCAGTTACATCAGGCCTTAGCCAAAGTTGGTTGACTCAACATTGCAAACGAGACTTTGGGTGATTGCCCAGGTAATCAGTTGTCTCTTCCATTTGTTGCACATTTCAGAAGTTTCCGCTTGTACTTCTGGGCTACTTGAGTAAAATTATTTCCCTTCTCAGATCTTTGATGGAGTTTAAAAATTAGATAGTTACAGTTAACCTCCACATTATTTAGAATCCTTAAAATAAAATGTTTAGTAAAACTTTTGTTATATATTTCCTGCTTAAAATTGTTTGTTGTTTGTAATTTTATATTTATTATTTGTTTCTATTGTATACAATGGTATTTGGTTTTGTTCTGTCTTATTTTTGAAAAAAAAATGGGGAGATGATAGGGGAGTTCAGCCAATCACATTCTGTCCATGGGGCATGTTGCCCTAAGGCAAAAATTTACCTATAAACCCGGCGAGTGCACTTTTCCTAGCTCTCTCTTGCCTGGCTCCTGGGTCTGGATGGATTGTTGGGATTCTGATGTAAGTCTTCTTTCTGTTTATTAAAGCTGTATAATTTGTATTAAGCCAGTCTGGTGGATCATTAATTACCGATCGCACCGCGCCCCCTTCACTTGTATCTCTGATATCTTCAAGACCTGTGTGAGGTAACCCAGATCCAGAAAAACAAACATGGTATGTACTTACTCATAAGTGGATATTAGATATACAGCAAAGGACAACAAAGCTACAACACACAGTCCCAGAGAAACTAGATAACAAGGACGACCCTAAGAGTGACATGCATGGATAACCTTAGGAAAGAGAAACAGATAAGAACTCCTGATATAGGATTCACCTCTGAATGATGCAAATATGCTTTATTACCATTTGTTAATAAAGAAGTGGCTTTGAACTATGGTAGAGCAGAATATAGCCAGGTTGGAAATCCAAGCAGAGATAAATATGGAGATAGTAGCTAGAGTCAAGGAGACACCACATAGTTGCTGAAGGAGAAAAGTATGCTGGAAACTTACTGGTAGACCATATCCTTGTGGTGATACACAGATTAAAAAAATAGGTTAATTTAAGATGTAAGAGTTACTTAATAATAAGTCTGAGCTAACAGGCCAATTAGTGTTGTAATTAATAGAGTTTTGGGTGATTTTTTGGGTCTGGGCACTAGGAAATGAACCAGCAGTCTCCTTTTAAAAAAATGATGCCCAATGTGGGGCATGGATTCACATAAGACCTTAAAAGGCTTAAGAAAAAAAAGAGGGCTTCTAGATTTACAAAACAGGAGCCAAGCACAACTTCTTGGTAGCTGCATTATTTTCAGATAGGCTATGTTTGCTTGTGGCGAGTTGAGGCAGCTTCTCTAAGAGCCTGCTTCCTTATTCACCAACAAGAATAGCTGTGATTTTTTTGGGGGAAGTCTGACTATGGAACATTTAAATGAGGTTTGTGAGAAGAGTGCTACAAGTTACTCAATGCCAATATAAACCCACTGTGTCCCTGGTTCACATGGTGTATATACCTCAGCCATGTTGGATGGGGTAGAGACAACAGGCAGGGACATAATGCTGTTCCTAGCCACACCCACTTGGCATTTTAAAAAAAGGCATTCCTTGTAAGAAAAGAATTTTTCAGATACATAATAAAATAGATTCAGACCTCTAAATGAGAAACAGGGTATTTAAAAACTGTACATAGGCTAGGGAGAAAGAGGAAAGAAGTGACACATTTATAACCTATGTTATAGAATTATTTTTATAGTATTTACTTGTGTGACCTATTTTCTTTATTTTTATCTTTGAGCCCCCAAATACTATCTTATTCTCCTTAGTAAGGCTTTCCATTAATTATTGTAGTAGGATTGTTGCATTTTTCAAATCTATCTTCATTTCAGTTTAATTTCTCCTTAATAGTTCTCTCTTTACTAAGTTCAGATTTCAAATTTCTGGGTTTTATTTTATTCAGTTTTGATATGCATATTTGTATTTTCTTGGACATCATTCAGGCATTTATTCAAGTTGAGTAAGGTAGGGGGTTGCTATCTTTTTAAAGCTCATTGACTTCTTTAATAATATTTTTGATTCTTTTTTTAAATTCTATGTCCTGAGGGTTATGTAGGCAAGTCTTATTTTACAGCATCTCTGTAGGACTAGTGGGTTTGATGGGAGACATTCTGTCTGAGCCACTGCTTGTTTTTGTAATGTGATGTGAGCATGTGGATCCTTTTTGGTTGTAGGTATGATAGGAGATTCTGGTCTGTCCCAGGTTAGCTCCAGTACAAGTGCTGAATATCTGGATCTAGGCCAGGTAAAGCCAATATGAAGTCTGGGTCTGGAGCTCAACAATATAACTATAAAACTCAGTGGAAAGCCTCACAAGTATACTAAGATAGAACTCTGGGGCAAATCCTAAATTTTGCATATGTATAACTATAATGCTCCATTTTGTGTATTCATTCTTCAGAGAACTGTGGGATTATTTATAGTATAAGCAGAAACATTTGATTGCATAATATTCTGAATCTGAATGCTTGAAGTTGAGTATTTTTGTTTGACACTACTTTATTAAGTAAAGAATACAGCTTTGTGTTAAAAAAGTAAGGTGATAATAATGACTAAGAATTCATTATCAATAGGGAAGAAGATGTTGCCATGAGAATTCAACACCCAGCAAGAACCTGGAGAACTTCTAAGATAATCAGTGCACACCTTAATAAAGAGAACTGTGTGTTAATCTCTTGTAATTGCATATGAGAAGACTGGAGAACTCAGGATGCACAAATAACTACATCAAGAATGATACCACAGAATCACTTTTATATTATACATCATCTTCACATTTGAGCATACATACTGATTATCTATGACACAATTTTAATAATTTTGAATATGTATGCAAATATATAAAACCAAGAGGCACTTCCAGTAATTCTGGCAAAGGGAGTATCAATATAGTCTCTAAGCTAAAAAAAAAATAAAATAAATATAATTTATCTAATTTTCTTTCTGTACAGATCCTACTTTTTACAAAACTTTTATCAGCCATTAACTATGTCACTTAACAAATACTTGTGGTGGAATGATACTAAGTATTGCTACATATATTAAGTGCAAAATACAGGAGGCAAGATCAAATTGATTTCAATTGTCAAACAATCATTTAAGTTCCAAGTTTTGTGTGTTTCTAAAAATGAATAAACTTGGCAAAGATACTAATTAATGAACTTATTCAGGCTGAGTGTGGTAAGGAAAACATTGTCAAAAATCGTCATTTACAAATGATGTCCCACCACTATCACTTAAGTTATTTGAAAATAATGGGTGTTTCAGAAAGACAAAACTAAATTTATCCTATAAACATTATTACATAGGGTCGAATATTTAGAATCTGCTATAGAAAACCGCTCAATGCCTTTTTTCTTTCTCTGTTCACAAAGAAGCAATAATGGATCCAATCAATCACTCAATCAGGAACCAGAACACATTTTTCACAAGGACAAAAACTGCAAACTGACCATGTCTACCGAAATCAAACCCACTGGACCTAAATTAAAGTTTCTGCCATCAATACAGAAGGGTAACGAGAATCTTTTTTTTCCTCATGATTTTGAATTGAGAGCTCGTAATCTGTGTAAAAGCACCAATTTTCATGATGTGATTAGTAGGATAAAAACCTCCAGGAGGAGTTCAAGGGGATGTTTGTATTCAAAGATATTTCCAGCACTTTTTAGCTAACAGATCAGCCTTACTGGTGCAAAACAAAACAAAAACAAAAAAACATGCTCTCTGTCCTACTGTGAGAATATGTGCAGTCAACTGACACTCGTAAATGCAAAAACCCAAGCAAATGTGATTTTAAAAAAATCTCATGCAAATATTTAACAGAGTACTCAAAATTAGTGACTGGTGAATAAATACATATCAAAAGTTATTGAACCCCTCCATTAACATGTAATATATAGATACGTTAGGGCTATTTTTTAAGGGCAGCAACAGTATAATTTTAGAATATGTTTATAAATAGCTAAAATGAAATGTCGGATATAATGGAGATTTTCTGAGTTAGAAAAATAACCAATTGGAAAATTTAAAAGAAAGTGACAGAACCCTTATACACGAGTAATACACACATACATACATACACACACACACACACACACACACACACACACACACACAAAGAGAACAATTTAAACAGTTATTATTAATTTCACGTTAACATCTGAATATTTTGTTATGTAAAGGGAATGTAATTATTAGGAGCAAAGTTCCTTCTCTGCAGCAGAAGCTCTGATCACTAGTGTTTCCCACTCGGCAATGAGTAGAAGTGCTTGTGATCTGTAATGAAGTCTGAAAGGAATCATGGATGCATAAGGTCATTTCTCTCCAGGGCGAGTAACCAAATTGGCTTGGGAGTAAGTTAGACAAGGGTCTGGCTATGTAGTGAAGGTTTTATGTGGTCCTCAAGTTTTCTGTTAACTACTTTGTACCTCAGGTTTCATTATGGAAATGGGGTGGAGGTGACTAGGACCACAATATTAAAAACATTTCTTCCTTTGTTCCAAAGAAGAGAATTTCTGATTACACACTCTTTGTTAATATTGGTCCAGAGAAGTAACATTGGTGAGAAACTACTCTCTGTGTGGTGTCCTTTGAACAGACTGTTTTTTTTTCCTGTTGCTTAGACAAGTGAATTTCCTGCAATAATTTGCTTCACTTGTCAGAAGTACATCCGATAAAACTGGAAAATTTAAAGTAGCAAAGCATTTCAGATGCTCTTCTGTTACCTTTCTAAAAAAACAATTTCATATTCTACTCAGTGGGGCAGTAACACAGGGTCAGCCCTTCATCTGTGAAAGCCAAGATTAATGTTTAATTTTCTTAGTGCTGAAGAATTTGAGTTTTAACTATATTAAAACTGAGCAATTAAGATTTATCTGTGGTAATAGATCATTTATCATTTTTAATGTACAGTGATAAACTACTGGTTCATATATTTTGTGCATTGGAATAATGCAGAGGAAATTTGATTGTAACTTGGGCACTTAAATTCTTTGGTAATTTTCCACAAATTTATTTATGAAAATGAATGTTTTACTTACATGTATGTCTGTGCACCATTTATAGGCAATTCCCAAGGACGCCAGAAGAGGGAGTCATATCCCCTGTAACTGAAGTTACAGACTGTATGAGCTGCCATGGGGACACTTAAAGAACTTTATTGAATTTACGTACCTATTAATCCTTTTGCAAAGCGTTTTTCCCTTGAGAGAATTAGGAAAATGTTAAATGCTGTAAGATTTCTCTTGCATGATATTAGTCTTGGTTATATCAAACTGTGGGCATTTTTGTACCAAGAGGCAGTCATTTATGGCTTGAATTTTAATCCAATTAAAAAAATTATAATGTGAATGTTCAAGAAAATAAGCCAATGTAAGTACTCTGTCAGTATTGACACACAAAGATTTAACACTAGTTTTTGCTACTTTTAATGTTGAAAGAGTCACTTCTTAATACAGAGCAAGGAGTCTAGGGTGAACATGGCCATACTGAACATTTATCTATAAGAGGAGGCTGTCTTTCCCCTGTGTGTCATGCCACTTTGCGGGGTATACACCTAAGATGCCAACACATGATGCTAAGAAATGTGGAGCCTTTAGTCCAACCCAAAAGTACACAGTCTATATACTGGTAGACTTTTTGACATTAAAAAACTCAAGGATCAAAGTTACCCTTTGAAGCAGCAGTTTGAGTCCCACCTACTTCACTTCTGCATCTGCAGACATGTTTAAAATATTCACACACAGAAAGTCAAATATATTAGTCATTGCATCTAACCAGCTGTTAGGGTAATTTACTAAAGTAACTATCAAGACTAACTCTTAGGTAAAGAAAAAAGTATTATGTAATGTAAAAGTAACACCATTTCAGGACATGCAGCGTATAAAGTAAGAACATGAATTAGTGATATCCATGCTGTATAGTGTTTATTAATGTGCTCTCTAATCATGGCTCCCTCGTGTGAGATCATGCAGTATTTCATTGCTCGGGGGTATGGTGATGGCAGAAAATGACTTCCATTTCAAAGCACAAGGTTATCGAGGCTTTTAGTTATCTGGGGCCAAACTATGGACATACAAATTTTTGTTGTTGCCCCATTCTGTAGATTAGGACCTCAAAGTCAAAAAGAATTTTGACTTAGTCTGTGCAAAGTCACTGATTTCTGTGACTGTAGTAGTCAGCCAGTTGAAAAGGCAGCTTAATTGCTAATGGCACAAAAATCAAGAGAAGTATCTAATGTGGATCAGGATTAGGAAGGAGGGAAGGCTAACAAGCACTTCCTTATGGTTTTCCCAGTGCTTCTAATGGCTACCCTAAGAGAGGATAGTGGAGGCCCCTGCTTCATGGAAGCACCAAGAGCAGGTCCCAAAGCAGAATAGACAGGACTTCTGGATTATTCATTTCCCATTGTTCAGGAGTTGTTCACCACACAAATACTTCACTTTTATGAAGAAGTCATTTCAAGTTTTAGACTTTATTTACAATGATAATTTTCATATTTTTATTATTTAGAAAATAATTTATACTTTTCCATCAGTTAAACAAATAATAGGCCTGAGTCTTGTGCCTTTTGCACAACTTTTACCTTCAAGAAAGTTCTCTGGGAAAGAAAGGCAGAGGGCACAGGGAAACTGCAAATATAGACATCTACTAAACAGTCGGCAAGGTATTCAGTTCTTCTCCTTGGGTTACTGGGGCTGCAATGGCTAATGTTTGTTCTGGACTCAAACCCAAGCAGGACAGAACAGGGCACGATGTTGGTAGAAAGCTGATGCTTTCTCCAACAAGAGACAATTCCCTCAATGCCAGATAATGACAACTAGAGAACATTCAGGACTGAGTTCATCTCCTACTGAGAACAAAACCAGGTCTTACATAAATGAGAACATTTTTTTTTCTTCAGTTATTTCTACTAAGGAAATAGTATTCAAAAGGTTAGCTGGCATCAATCACCATAAAGACATTCAATTAGTATGCTGAAAATAACATGGATAACATGCAGAATATGCTTATGCTTCCTCCACAGAGAGCAACTAGTTCCAATTTCTCCCACCACCGGTGCGTTATAGCTGTCTATGGAACTATCCTTTCCCTAAGTGGGTAGAAACCCTCTCGCTGGGAGACCTGAGTTTATCATTGGCACCTATATAGGCTCATAGAAAACTGTAGTAAATTGCATCAAACACATTGGCACCACAGGAAGTTAACTCTGAAGTTGGAGGTGAACACAGTAATATTGCTGTCAACAAGAAGCTGGACAACATCATTCATGGGAAACACTTTTGATGTTGTTTAATAGCCTTTGAGATTTATCAGGGTGGATCTCTAGGTCACACACTTGGTGGGGCTCCACCCTTTTCAGTTTGTTGCCTTTTGGTCTGAGAAGAATGACACTTGTTTGTTTGCTAAGGAAAAACTTAAACCTGTTTGGAGGAATGAGTACAATTCTGGAACAAATAGATTGAAATTGCTTTGGTCAATATCCTGTTATTTCATGTACCTTAAAACAAGCCAAATTAGGCAGTTTTCTGAGACCTCCCTCCCACCATGTAACCAGCCGGGCTCCTACTCTGATTCTGTGGCTTTATTCAAACTGCCATTATAAACACTCCCAACAAATTTGCCGATCCACTTACTCCATACATAGCTTGTTTGACTATTTACGTGTGCGATACAGACATGTATCCATTTGGAGATGGGAATGAGCATAGGCAGATGTAAAGGGCACGCAGCGAAGAGCTTTGTCTATCATTTCTGTTGCAGCAGAAGGGTACCTTTACCAAAGAAGGGTTCTTGTTTCACAATAGATTTATAAACAGAGATGCACAGACACCATGAAGAAAGAAGAAATGATTCAGGACTTGCTAAATGCTGAAGACCTGCTGTTAACTCAGAAATATAACGAAACATATTCTAATTGTGTGGATGAAGCCTTAATCTTTTCAACCCTCTTTGCATTAATATATTAAATAAAAATATGCCTTGATATATTTGATTTCATCTTTGTCTCTCTTGAAAAAATGCTAAGAATTACCATAAAATTATAATTTTGAACGGACGGGTACACTACCCATATATGGGAGACAAAGAGGTTTTTACTGTAAACAATCAAGGATGTAAAAGGGCAGAAATCAATACACAAGCCTTGAGGGTAGGTTGACTAGAATTCTGTGAACACAGAACTGAACCAGGAGCTACAAACAATAGAGTCCAGAGAGAAATGTTAACAAGTTGGTTAAGAAAGGCTTTCATCAGGGAGGGAAAGACATCAAATTAAGTCAGTCAGCAAAAGCTGTTGTCTTTGCAATGCCGCAATTTTAACAGCAAAACAACTGTATCAGATCATGACTCAAACTAGAGTAGCGATGGCAGGTGGCCCTCAGACGCCACAGTGAACCATCACCTAACTACTAGGTTTGGAGACAGCTACAATGTATAAAATGGTGATTAAAATATAACTACAAAATGTTTCCCTTTTCCCCCTCTTTTTTCTTAAAAAAAAGTTTACTATCTACAGAAACAAACAAACAAAAACTTTATATTTACATCACGGTAACTAGTCATGACATACGTAATAATATCCAATAAAATATTGAAAGTGAGTATCAACTTTTTAAATAGAGGTTTGGCTCACAGCATAAACAAGTGTAGAAAACAAAACAACCCAAACAATTTTCAATGGTCTGGCCATGAACAATAATCAACACGCCATAATCTTCCTTTCCAAAAGGAGCATGACCACGGACCAGACTGCAAAGCCATGCCATGCCATCACATGGAGTATGGAAGACCACAACAAGGGATGTCAGAGCAAACAACCTGCAACAGTTGCCAAGGGTCAGCTTTGCCAAGCCCTTAATTGGCATTTCACCTTCATCTCTTGTTATAAAAGAGTTTGTTGACTGCCTTTTTTACTATAACACGTCTTGCAGCAAATTGAGAAGACACAGGCTATCATTTCTAATGGTAGCATCCGGGGTCTTTCCCAGTACCCTTTTAAAACTGACTCCAGCTCCTCTTGGGTGTCCACCAGTAAAGAACGCTATTTCCTTCCATGGTGATTTGATCATTGGTGAGTGACACACACCCTTATACATTCATTAGGCAAGTAGACCAGAAAGCCTCTGTTTTTTGAGTGTGAGGCTGGTGCTAGGGCACCTCCACGTGGCAAGTAGTAGTAGTACCTCTCATGTGGCCCACACAAGCCAGCCCTCCCTCTGCAAAAGAACCTTCAGAAAAGCTAAATGGAGGAAGGCTGCCAATCAAAGACACTCCAGAAAGAACTTCCTTCTGTATATTCACATGTATTTCAACACCTGCTGCAGCTAGTCTATGAACAACTAAAAACACAAGCATCTCCCTTTACACACACACACACACACACACACATAAACACATCTCTCTCTCTCTTTCTCTCTCTTTCTCTTTCTCTCTCTCTCTCTCACACACGCGCGCGCGCACACACACACACACACACACACACACACACTTACACACACAGTTGGCAGGATGCATTAGAATCCCAACAAGACATCCATTCCCTCAGTAGGGAGAAGAAAAGCTGGTCAGTCTTGAGCCTACGTTTGTTTCCTTGCTAAGCTGCACATTTCCTCTTGGGTTTTCATCCTTTAAGATGTCCATGTCACAGTGACCTCTATATATCTTAATATGACTGTTGCTACCTTGTGGAATCAGGCATCCTGGTTATCAGTGTGCATGTGTTACACGTGACTATAAGTCTTACATGAGCCTATGTGGGAGTCTATACACACACATATATTTCTCTTTTATAAAACGATCCTTAGTCGCTGGTGTCGCAGAGTGAAAGCTAGCCTTCAGCGCCGTCCCTTACTGTAAAAGGAAACACACAAAACGCGAAGGATTCCCCAAATGCTGTAGCCATTTGCCCGCCTTCTGGTATTCTACAGTGTTGTGTCTAAGTGTTGTGCTGGCTTGGAAAGTGTCCGGGACAAGTAATTTTGTATGCAAACATGGCTCGCTCTACCCATGGTCACAGATCTGGCTGTTGAGCTGGGGTCTCCTCAATTCTTGGCTTCCCCTTCTCTTCCTCTTCCTCCTTGATAGCCTGGATCTGCTCTGAGGGATGTTGCAAAGGGGCTGAGTCCAGGGACTTGTTCTCTAGGCCTGCTAAGCCCTGTTCCTCTTCAATCACTTTCTTCCACATCATGTGGTTCTGCAGGAGGTGCTGAGTTATTTGGCAGTAGATTTTCCTCCTTTTGCAAGTTTTCTTTCCTGCAAAACATAAACATCAGATTGAACTATTTTAAAGCTACATATATGAAGATTATGCTTTTCACCTTCTACTCCAGAAGTAAATATTAAAGAGACATCTGTCTGTCTTTCTGTTTATCTACCCTCCTACTTCACTTGCTTCGCATGTGCTAACAATGCAGTTTTCTAGAACAGGAAAGAGAAGAAATATGACAATAAACTATTCCTGAGATAAATGTACATAATATTTCATAGTCAACAATGCCCACATCAGGTTCTGCTTGTATATTCTGCCCAAACTATTTGGAGATGTATGTGTAGTGCAAGTGCACCTGTGTGCATGGATATGCAGGTATGAAGGTCGGAAGTTGACATCATAACTTTCAGAGTACAGAATGATAACTGCCGCATCATGGAAACCCAAAACACAAGCCTTATCTCTATCACTGTCTACCTTGGTCTTTGAGAGAGCACCTCTCCCTGAACCTGGAGCCTGCCAATGGTCACGGGATATGCCAGGTGTGTGAGATCTCTTGAGATCCATCTACAAACGTCTTTGTGGATGGGCTAGGAAGTCTTTAGTCTTTAGCCCTTTGTTATAAGGGGCAGTGGAAATTTCCTGCACCACAGAGCAGTGAGATCTAATTGTAAGAAATGTGTGTGGGAAAGATCAGTTAAATTATTTTGAAGTATTTTTGAACCACATAGAAACAGACAAATATTAAATTAAATAAATTCTGGGAGAAAGTAACATAGGCACAGAATTATGAAAAATAATTTGAGTTCTTTTTTTACCCTAGATGTCATCTGTTCATTGATCAATCTGATATGGACCAATTGGTGAGAGTTTTTCCTTCTTATGTGCACTTTGAACAAAGATTGACTTGGCTCAGTTTTCTTTCATGGCACTTGTGCTCTGTGTAAGTACACTTAGGAGAAAGAACCTGAGTAAGGATGCTGCTTTAGTACAGAGATACACTTGTGATAGAGATGGCTTTATTATGGGTGATAGTGTTAATTGTCATCTTGAGAAATTTGAATCACCTGGGAGATGGGCCCTTGGGCATATCTGCAGAAGTGGGGTGGTGTTGGGAAGCTGCACCTGTTATGGGTGGTATCATTCCCTAGGTAGTGACCTTGGAATACCTCTGAGAAGAGAAAGTGAGCTGAGTGCTAGCACATAAGCACCGAGGCATTGCTGTCTGAGCCTTCACTGTGGATGTTATGAGACCAGCACTCCACAGACTGGCATGGTGTCATTCCCACAGTGAAGAACTATCACCTGGAATTGAGAGAAAAAAATAAACTACTTCTCCCGAGTTGTTTTAGTCAGAGTGTTTGATAGTAACCAAGATACTGTTGGTCTTAGCTTGACTACAATTTAGACAGGGAACGCTCCCCTTCTCCCATCTGAAGACCCTGCCTCAGAGTGGTTATTTGGGAACTGGCGGGCAAGAGAGAAAGCCAGTTATAACCACATCTGGCTTTTTTTTTTCTATATTGGTCACGGGATCAGCCTTGTGTAGAAAGCTTTTCTATGCTAGGCCATCACAGCCCTAATTTGGATTTTTAATTTATTTATTTAAGATCGCCTCTTATGGCTGCCAAAGCATGGGCTCTGACCCCCATGAGTCTAATAAGACACTTCTTTTAAAAAATGCCACTGACATTTGATGACTAATATTCCTAACTTGTCAAGACCTAGAATCACCGCCTCTTATGGCTGCCAAAAGCATGGGCTCTGACCCCCATGAGTCTAATAAGACACTTCTTTTAAAAAATGCCACTGACATTTGATGACTAATATTCCTAACTTGTCAAGACCTAGAATCACCGCCCCCCCAAAAAAGGGAAAACATCTGGGCATGTCAGTCATGTCAGTGTGGGAGTTTCCAGATTAGGTTGATGTGGAAAGACCCTCCTAAAAGTGAGGGGTACAATGCTGTGGGTTGGGGTTTGCATAAAAAGGAGAAATCTAGCAGAGATTAGCATTTCTTGACCTCCACTTTCCTACTGCACCTCTTCAAAGTCTTCTTGTTAGAATTCAGCCTGCCTCAGCACCAGAAGCCACATTATCACCAGCCATTGGACCTTTAAAAAGGTCCCTGCCACCTCTCTTCGTCCTCTCTTGGTCTCTCAAGTTCTTTATTCCTCTTTCTATATCTCTGAATCACTGTCTCTCTCTCTCTCTCTCTCTCTCTCTCTCTCTCTCTCTCTCTTGTCCCCCCCCCCAAGTGACCCTTCCCCTGGCCCCCCCCCCCCCGCCAAATCTCTTGTATGAGGTGATGTGATATGTCCTTTAGTATACGTGTTGCCTTTATTGGTTGACAAATAAAACTGTTTGGGCCAATTACTTAACAGAGTAAAGCCAGGCTGGAAGTGGGGAGGGGGAATAGGTGGAGTCAGAGAGATGCCATGTACGTGTCAAAGGAGACGCATGCCCTAAACCTTACTGGTAGGCCACAGACTCATGGTAATACACAGATTAATAGAAATGGGTTAATCGAAGATGTTAGCTAATAGGAAGCCTTGATGTGGGACTCCCCTCTGTATGCTGGAAATACCACTGGTTAATAAAGAAGCTGTTTTGGACCTGTGATAGGGTAGAGCAGAACTAGGTGGGAAAAACTAACCTGAATGCTGGGAGAAAGAAGGTGGAGTCAGGAGAAGCCATGTAGCCCCATTGGAGACAGATGCCAGAATTTTACCTGGCAAACCACAGCCACATGGTGTTACACAGATTACTAGAAATGGGTTAAATTAAGAGTTAGCCAATAAGAAGCTAGAGCTAATGAACCAAGCAGTGATTTAATTAATACAGCTTCTGGTTATATCAGGAGTCTGGGAAACCAGGAAATGAACAAATGTCCAAGCAGCCTCCTACTATGAAGACTTAGCTAATAAGCTAAATAATTAATATAGTTTCTGTGTGGTTATGTGGGTCTGAGCAGTCAGAAAATGAATAAGCAGCATCCATCTACAAATGGTGTGCCAACATGGGGCACATAAAAATTGAGAGAGTTTGGGAAAGAACTCTAGACACAAAAGAACAGAGTTAAGCACGGCTTCTTGGTAGAGGCATATTTTTAGATAATCTCTGTTTGCCAGCGGCAAGCAGAGGCATGGCTGCTTTAAGAGGTTTACTGACTCAGCTTTAGTGGCAGAAACGTTGCAGTATCTTTAAGGAAAAGATTTCTGGTTCTGGCTCTCTTGAAGCTTATAGGAACACACCTTCATAATTTTAGCCTTTGCAAATCTCTTTCCCTCTGGGACTTAGATTTTATTACAACAGTCTGGTCTCAGCACAGATCAATGGCCTAAAATTGACAAAATTGATTTCCAAACGCTCACAAATTGTAACAACTGCTACTCCACAGATAAATGATCCACAAATATCTTATAGCTTTCCCTGCTCTACATCTTCTCTACTTTCCACTCCTAAAAGTTTCTTATTGCTATGATTTCCCAAAATAAATCTAAGATTATGCTGTAAACTCTATCCCAGGGTTTGAAAATTTTGGGGATATGGTTTAAAATCTATAAGATCTGTAACAAAATTTGGCTTTAAACTTATAACAAAAGATGTATAATTAAAAATTTATAGGGGAATGTATATCTAAATCATGCATTATATATAATATTATATATACAATATATATTATATGTATGTGTGTATATATGTTTGTGTTTGTAACTTGGATTTGACACTCATAAAAAAGCAGAGACCTACTAGGAAAACAGATGTTTTAAATAACAACCATGTAGCTCTCCTCCTTCTTGGCTGATGATCCCATTAGGATGTAAGCAACCACATGGCTTGCGCCCATCGTTACTAAGGTAAAAGAGTACATATTATGTGACTTCACCATCTTAAGATGATCTCATATCATAAAGCAACTATTGTAAACCTTTTTAGTCCTAATGAGCTCTCTATTTATCATTATATCTCCTTTTAGACTAAGGATGCAACAATTCTTAAATACTTTGGATTGGTATGAATTTTTTATAATAATAAAAATTTAAGGTTATGTTTGCTACAAAATGCTATATATGTGATTGAATTCTCGTTTAGAATATACTGCATATGATGATAAAATTCTAAGGTTAGAAAAGTCTACTCAGCTTAACAAAAGCTAATTAAAGATGTCTGTCTAACTGCTTATGCCTTTGCTAACTGTTTAACACCAAGTTGCTAGAAAATTTAGATAAATAACAACAAATGTTTGATAAATAAGGTATACTTAACAAATAAGATTTGTAAATTCCTAAGGTGTACTCAGGTTCACAGTCCAGCTTCTTTGTCTTTGCCCACTTTAAGCTTTAATTATTTGGATACACTAAGCCATATTTTGGGATCCTAGTCTGTTTGTATGCTCACCTTCCTAGACCTGAAGGGAGAGGGGAGGAACTTGAACGTTCCACAGGGCAGGAAACCCTGACTGCTCTTAGGACTGGAGAGGGAGGAGGAGAGGGAGTGGGGGGGGGAGAAGGAGTGGGGGGAATGGGAGGGTATGGGGAGGAGGGGAGGAAGTGGAAATTTTTATAAACAAATAAATAAATAAATTTAAAAAAAGAAAAAAAGTTGCAATGTTGTATAATGATGTGCTATAAAAGATTCAGCAAAGTCACTACTCTCCCTATGAACTGGGCCTATGATTACACATTTTATTTCAATAGTGAAGTATTTCAATGATAAAACTGTTATTTTTTAAGGCTAAACCTAACAGGTATAGAAGGTAAATTTCTAGTCTTATAAAAGCTACTTACTTGTAAACTGTTAAGGATAATTAAGACATGCAAGTTAATAGTCACCTCATAAACAATCAGATTCTTTAATGTGTCCAGAACTATACTTGTAGTCATGCTAAATAGTAATGTGATTAATTGCTAGGATAAGATTTAGTTAGCCCTTCCTTATATGTTTTCAAAGTTAGGCCTAAAGCAAATAACTAAATTGGCTATACTTAATACATAGATGGTCTTCAAACTATTCAGAAACAGCTGAATCTGTTGACTATGGC